CAGGCTTCCTTACAAGCTGCAACGGATTTGTTCTTTTCAGGGCAGCAGCAACCTAAAGCTCACGTTCCAAGTCCTGCCTCAGAATAAGCTGCACAACAGCTCATCCCAAAGCTCTGGAATCCTGCAGGTTGCTGCTTTTTCTTTCCACTCTCTTTTAGTTACACATACAGATGAAGAACAGGAAAATCTGAGGACAAAAATGACTACACAGAAGCATTTTAAATTGAGCAAAGCAACAGAGCAGAAATCCACAGCTTTCATTTTCGTGGTAAACGAGTCCTGAATTTTTGTCTCAGAACCCAGCCTGTTTCCTACTGTCTTCAAAACTGGTTATGAAAGCAAAAATTAACTTCAGAGCTACAGGTAAGATTGTTTGACTTGTAGCTTTGGTTCACGGGGCAACGAACCAGCTGTACAGTGACACCTCTCACTTAGCAGAGGCTTATCTTCAGAGCTATCTTTAATACTGCAGGTTGTTGAGGCAAAGCCAACGTTGGACCCAGCCACCTTCCCCTTTTTACTACAAAATTGACTTCATTTATTCAAACTGTGACATGTTTTCCCTTCCCTCACATCTGAAGCAGACGAGTTCAGAACAGTCTGCTTTGCCAGGCCTGACAAGTTCTACAAGCCTTCCACTGAGCAGCTTTGGAGTGAATGCAACCACAGCACGCACCTCTGGCCAAAACTGTGTCTTGTGCTGTCTAGAGAAGCACTTGTGCACACCTGATTGAATTTTAAGTCCCTTCAAAGCAGTTCACACGACGTCAGGTAGAGGTGCTGCAGATTTGGCAGCTGAGCTTTCCAGCTGTCCCATCTGCAAGCACATGCCATCCTCCCAGCTCCCAGACTGCACTTGCTGTCCTGCAGATCGAGCAACACTTTCCCTCCTGTTGTTCCTTCAGAATCCTCGTGACCCAGCCAGTCCCTGTTGCCATGCAGCAGCCTGTCGGTGCTGCCATCAAGAGCACTGCAGATGGTCCACCAGAAACACAAGCAAATGGAACAAAAAAGAAAATAAAAACCCTGAGCAGTCTTTGCAAAGTTCATCCTTCCCTTCAATAAATGTCTAGAGATGATGAGGGAAAGCACTCTGCAGAGACACATCCAGAACCATTTGGCGACGGGATGAAAAAGGCAAGAAGAGCCCCAGGTGACACCTGGCTGCAACGATCTGCAGCTTTCTTACTGACAGAACTGCCTTTTCTCCCTGCAGCCTCCCTCCCTGCACACACACAGACCACTGGAAGAGCAGCCAGCATCCACTCTCAGAACACAGCCCTTCCTTGTCTCTGCTGTCACAGCCAGGTCTGGTGGAAAAGAGGTTTTTAGTTACACAATACACATGCAGCAGGAAGCAATGCTGAAGTTTCACAGACCGAGCTCTGAATTTTTTCAGCTTAAGGAATGGAATTTGTCAGCATTTCATGGCCCACATATGAGGTGCTCCTTGTAAACCAGCCACTGGCACAGCTGCCCTCACCCAGAAGGACTTGGATGCAATAGCAAAGGGTGCCCATCTCATCCTCTGTTCCCACTCGAGCCTCACAGCCTTGCTGGAAAACATTCCCAACTACAGATTTTAGTCTGGGATCACACAGGTATCTCAGAGGCTGCTCTCCATTTCACTGCTTTGTGCTCTGAAGGCACGCCTCTCAACAGTGCCCATCGAAGGCAGGAGGCTGAAATTCTGTTTCTTACTGCTCTTTTTCAACTACAACTCATTAAAAGTTCAAGTCGTATCGTCAACTAAGCTGACGAAGCAAAGCTTCGTGTGCAGCTGACTCACTGCTGAAGGTAGCAGTTTGGTGGCAGACTAAACAGTAGTGCTGCAAGGATCAACCTAAAAGAGGCGCCAAGGAAAGATAATCTTGGCAACTGCTATTTCCATTCATTAGATTCCTCCCTCAGCCTTTCCATGGTGCCACAAATGAACAAGAAACACACCTTGAACACACTACAGGAACCAGCAGCTCAGGTGATCCCAACACCTCTGGGTGCAGGAAGGCACCAAGTGCCCTACAATAAAACTGTGCCCTGACAGATCCATCAGCTTCACTCTTCAATAGCACAAATTGCCAGTTGGATGGAAGAACCAAGCCCATCCCCAACATCATTAACCTCCAAATAGACACCCTGCAACTCCAGGGTGCTCATGGGGCAGACATCAGGGGAGCAGCATTGCCTCTCAGTGCTGCTGGTGAGAGGGAATGGAGGCCTCTCTGTTTCAGGCAGAACCCTCAGGAGTAACAGAAAGTTTGCTGGTTTATTTTTCCCCTTTCTTGCAGCCAAACAGTCTGATGCAAAAAACAAAATATTCCCATTTATCCATGAAAATCAATGCTTAATGCAGAACAGAAGTGTTTGGGACAATGTTCCAAGTCAAGCCACAAGGATGGGTGAAGAAGATGTGCAAGCCAAGGAGAAAGAATGGGAAATAGAGCTGGTAAGACAGGTTAGAAAAGAAACACAGCACAAAGAGGCTAAGGGGACAAAGATGTGCAAAGCAGAAGCAAGACAGAAATGAAGGGCAGGAACTGTAATGAGCAAAAATATGAAAGAACAGCAAAAATGGGAAGAGAAGGGAAAAAAAAAGCCCTGTGATCTGAGAAAAGAGCATCATATTAAATCAGGAAGAAACAGAACAAAAGCAAAACACCCAGTCCTTTGCTTTGAATGAAACTACAATCCTTAGCAGGTTAATGAACTAAAACAGAAACTTATCTGACATCCTCTAAGAAGACCTGACTTTGATGATACGCAGCATTTAGCAGCTGTCAGGGAAGCTGTTAATGCAGAGAACTGAGCCACCTTTTGGCATGAATAAAAGAGAACTGTTTGGTGACAGCTGTTTTCAGTGAGCTGGCTTTTAAAGAAGAGTGCCATAAAGTTCTGATCCAGAACACCAACACAACTCATACACTGCTCCTCACTGCGCTGTATCAGGCAAACTCTGAGACAGAAACCTTAAGAGAAACAGAGCTGCACGAGCTGCAGTTTGTGATCCCAGCGACACTGATTTTCCTACAGCTGAAGCAGACCCAGCTGGCTCTTCCTGCAGCTCTGTGCTGGCAGATGCTAATTTCGAACGACAGGAGCTGTAACGCCAGGCCAGAAAACAAGCGCCATCACTTCCATATCCTGCAGAATTGGTCAATAACCACAAAGCTTAACTTCACCAGCCTTACCTCAGCTTCCTCCTGCCAGGCTGAGGACCTGCAGCGCCCCAGGCTCCTGGAGCTCTCCCTGTTCCCACCTGCGTGGGGAAAAAGCCGGTCAGAGCCCTCAGGCCTGCAAACCACCCCTTCAACGAGCTCCCCCAGCTTCTACCCCACCCGGCTGAGGGCCGCATCCCCAAACAGCCGCAGGCCGGCCCCGCTGCCTTTTGGTGGGGGGGGGGGCACCCTGGAGCCGCCCCCTCCCCTTCCTCCGCCTCCTCCCTCCAACCCCACCCCGCCGGTAGCGCCCATCACCTGCACTCATCCCCTCGGGGTTCCGTCGCCCCCCGCCCCCGCTTCCGCCGCTGCCACCCGGACCCGCCCCCCCCGCTCCCTCCGTTTCCCGGCACTAGGCCGCAGCCGGCAACCCGCAGAGCGAGGCGGGACAGGAGCCGCTCACCTGGGCCGGGCGGGGCCGGGCGGGGAGGGGGGGCGGCGGGCGGGGCGGGGCGGGGCGAGAGCGGGGCGGGGGGCGGCGGCGGCAGCGGCTCCGGCGCGGGCGGCGCGGACGGGACGGGGCCTCTACTCGCGGCGGCGCAGGGCGGCCATGGCGTGACGTCATCAGGGCGCGACGGCCGTTCGGGCGGGGGGAGGGGAAGAAAGGGGGCGGAGCCTGCGCGGCCCGGCGTTACGCGCGCGCGGCCGCGCAGCTCTCGTCTTAAAGGGGCCGCGCGCGGGAAATGTGCTGAGCGCGCGTGCGTAATCGTGCGCGCGAGGAGGGAGGGCACGGGCGTGTAGCAGTGCGCACATGCGTGTGGATGGGTGCATGCCTGTTCATTTACACATGGAGAGCTGCAGGTGTGAACACATGCGTGCATACATCTGTGTGCTCATGCACGTGGGCACACATGCATGCCTGCACAACCAAGCATGCACGTACATGTGCATGGAGTTGCAGAGTTCTAGGCATTGACACATGCAGCCAGGTGTGCACGGACAAGGAGGTGCCTGTGTGCACGCTTACACCATAAAGAAGCAGACATGTGTAAGCACGGAATGTGTACGTGAGTGTGAATGCCACAACTGGCTCTGCACGTGTCACACGGAGCCGTGTGCACGCATGGAAATATGTGCATGCACACTGATGTGTATTTCTGCTCATACACACACGCAGAAATAAATGTATACGTGCACACATATAGAAGAAGTGGTAAATGTGTGTGTGTACACACACAGAGGCACAACTGTATGCAAGTGAGCACCAGGCATGTGGGGTGCTGCAACAATGCTTGTTGCATTGCTGGGACAATGCTTGCATGCATGCTTGAGACTATGCACTCATTGCAAATAGAGCTGCAGGCGGAGCAGCTGGGCAGGACTGGTCCCACCCCTTGTGTCAGCAGCCAGAGTTGAGGGCTGGTTTAGGTGGGAGGGGTGTGGGGTGGAGCCTTAGCTGACAGATATATAAGGTGAGCGTGGATGTGTGGGGTGTAGAGTGTGTTTGGTGGAGGTGAGTGGGGATGGGGATGGGGATGGGGATGGGGATGGGGATGGGGATGGGGATGGGGATGGGGATGGGGATGGGGATGGGGATGGGGATGGGGATGGGGATGGGGATGGGGATGGGGATGGGGATGGGGATGGGGATGGGGATGGGGATGGGGATGGGGATGGGGATGGGGATGGGGATGGGGATGGGGATGGGGATGGGGATGGGGATGGGGATGGGGATGGGGATGGGGATGGGGATGGGGATGGGGATGGGGATGGGGATGGGGATGGGGATGGGGATGGGGGCTGCCCACAGACCATTAGGGTCATATTTGCTGGGGTGAGTGCCTCTGACTGCCTTAAATCCCTTACAGACCCCTAAAGGGGTCGGGGCACAGTCCTACACCTCTGCTAACCTTTGCTCCAGCACTGACTCAGAGCCCATGCGCTGCTTTACGCAAGAGCTGTGCTGGCAGCAGGACTCTGCCCGTTGCTTCCAGCCTGTTCCTGCTCAAAGGGCAGATGCTGTCCCTGTTGAGCAGGGCGGGTACCACTGGGATATAGGGATGGGGTCTCCTGAGGGGTTCGCAGAGCTGAACACTGCCATTGCCTGGGCTGAAGCTTTCTCCCTGCCAGGCTCAGTTCTGTGCCAGCATGGATTATGCCAAGTCCTTGAGCCTGCGCCTGGCTGCTCCTGTCTCCAAGTAAGCTTTGGGGTGACCCTAGGAAGGGGACGTCACTGTCTCCCCCTGCTCTGACACCACTCAGCATCTTGAGTGAAAGCCCAGGGCTGGGGGTGGCTCTGGGAAGCCCCCTGACCCTCCCCATCCCCTCCAGATGTGTCTCCGCCAGTGCTTCCATGACGCAGCAGCTGCTCCTCTCCAGCCCGGCCCCACGGCCCCGACCCTTCCGTGTCTGCAACTGCGATCGCAGCCTGCGCAAAGGCATCATGGCACACAGCCTGGCCGAGCTGCTGCACCAGGTGAGCCGTCCATCTATCTGTCAGGGGCCCATCCATCTGATGGGCCATCTCCTCACCGCAGCCCTATTGCAGGTCCGGAGCACCCTGCCGGTCCCTGACCCCATCACGCTGGTCCTGGATGAGGACGGCACTGTGGTGGAGACAGAAGCTTTCTTCTGCACGCTGGAGGAGGGCACAGTGCTGATGGCCCTGGGCAAGGGGCAGTCGTGGTCTGCTTGCAAGGTGAGCGTGGGCTGAAGGAGCCCGTTTCATCCCACTGGGGTCAATGAGGATGATGCTGGGTGAGGCAGCACGAGGTTCCTTGGGCAACTCTCGGTCCTGCTGTGCCTTAGGCACCTGGCTACCAGCTGAGCCTGTCCCACAAGCCATCCCGCCGCATCGATGTCGCCTGTGTCACTTTTGACCTGTACAAGACCAATCCACAGGACCTGGGCTGCCTCAACGTCAAAGCCACGCTCTATGGCACTTACAGCATGTCCTACGACCTGCGCTGCTACGGGGCCAAGAGGCTCATGAAGTGAGTGCTGGGAGGGCAGCCACAGCACACACAGGTGCACGGAGCGATGCTCACTCTTGTTTTTTGACCCCTACCCAGGGAAGCGCTGCGCTGGATGCTCTTCAGCATGCAGGCCACGGGGCACGTGCTGCTGGGCACCTCCTGCTACATGCAGCAGCTGCTGGATGCCACCGAGGAGCCCAAGGAGGAGAGCTGTGTGCAGCTGCCCCACAGCCTCCCCCTGCTGCCCCCCAGCAAGATGCTGCAGTGAGGAGATGGGGCATGTCCTTTCCTGGGGGTCCCAGAGCCCCTCCCTAGGTCAGTACCCAGAGCTCTCCCTGCATGCTGCTGGCTGGATGCAGCCGCCTCTTCTCTGTGATGCCTGCTGCTTTGTAAATATATTTATTTAAGTAAAGCTGTGCTTCTTGCAATGCTGCTCTGTGTCCTTTCCCCTCCCTGGCTGGGTTTGGGGTGGAAGGGGGGGGTTCAGCTGCTTGCCCCATTTGGCACGGGGCTGTGCCAGGCTGTGGTGCAAGGGCTGCTGCTGCAAGAGGCCCTGGGGGAGCTGTGGCACCACTCACTGCCTGCCTGGTGCCAGTTTCTAGCAGGAGTGGGAGAAGGGAGAGCAAATCAGTGCCCACCTGTGCCAGAATGGGGGCAGAGTTTCAGGGAGGAGAGAACCTGGGTGAGGAATGGGTGCTGTATGTGCACCCCCCCTGAGTTGCACCTTACCTGCTCAAAAATGCTGAGTTATGGTAGGAAGAGGACCCCATTAACTCAGACAAGCTCCTGTTGCAGTGGTTTTCTGTAGGGTTTAATGGTTCATACTGGCTGAACCCCAGCTCCCTGCGGTGTCCCTAAGCCCCTAGCTGCCCTCCCCAGTACAGCAGGAATCCCAGCCACACTCACCTGGGGCTCCCAGCTCCCAGCACAGCTTTGAGACTGCAGCATTGGACCCCACAGCAGAGCCCAGGACTGGGTGTGGGGCAGCACAGCCCACCTGCAGCTCATTCCTTTCATTAAGCAGACAATTAGTCATCAGCCTCCATCCCCACACCTGCTGCACCACCTGGGCAGGGGCTGCACCCCAGCCCCCCTTCCCTCCAGCATGGAGGCAGCACCCAGTGTAATTAGACATATTTATTTTCTGTACACGCTTATACACACAGTTCCCAGGGTTGCTTCATTCTGAACTTCAGTGCTCTCCTGTTCCAGGGCCTGGTTGTGCCCCCCTTTCCCTGTAGTGTCTGCCCCCCCCTGCCCTAGTTTCCCTGCAGCACCACGTAGGGAGGAGCAGTAGGGTAGATGGAGGGGGCTTTGCAGAGCTGGGGGGGACAGCCCCCCTCCCCATACCATGGCTTCAGGTCCGTGCTCTGAGGTCCTTCCACTTGAGGTGAACGTCAGCACCCAGAGCAGAGAGATGTGGTGCTCTGGGGATGAGGAGGGGCTGCGGAAGCCCCCCCTGGGGTCCATCATCGAGACCCAACCCCACATCTGCAGTGAGGATGGTGCCGCGTCGCTTTATAAATACACATCCATCACCGGGACGTCGGCCCCCAGTGTCCCCCCCAGCCACACCATTCCCACACAGCCCCCCCAACCCCAAACTGCCGATCAGAGCTGGGGGGGGGGCCCTTTACTTGACGTGCTCGGCTGCGTGGGACGAGCAATAATACTTCTTGTGGGCGATGAAAGTGGACAAGCTGCTGAATTTGATGTTGCACAGGCGACAGTACCGGTGGTTGCCGTTGGGCACAGGGCTGGGGGCAGCCTTGGCTGGGGGGGTCTGCACCCCCCGGTCTGTATAGGAGGGTGGAGTGGGTGGCTTGTCAGCGGGGGGCCGGGGGGAGACGGGGGGCCGGGGGCTGCCGTTGGGGGGGGCATCACGAGCCTCCTTGCCGTTGAAGCTGTCCCGGCGGAGGCGTGGGGCGGGTGGGCGCGGGGGTGAGGCGGCGGGGGGCTCGGGCGTCCTGCCCCCCCCGGGCCGTGGGGTGTCGGGGAGGCCATGCGCAGCCACAAAGAGCCCATGGACGTGGCGGAAGTGCTCAATGAGGTCCCCCTTGATGGCCCCGTTAAGAGGGCAGTAGGGGCAGACAGAAAGCGGCCCTTTGGCACCTTTAGGGTACCGCGAATCCCCCATGGATACTGCAGGGTAGGTGGGTGGCAGAGCCTTGGCGGCGCCGGTTGGAGCCGTTTTGTCCCCTTCGCCGTCGCGGTGTCCCTTGGGCACGGCCCCTTTGATCTTCTGGAGGTGCTCCATGGCACCGGGCTGCAGCGGGGTGGCAGGGCAGGAGAACTTCTTGTGGGCCAGATAGCTGTCCAGGCTGTTAAAGCTGAGGCGGCACGCCGTGCACTCGTGGTAGTCGGCCAACGGCAGCAACGTGGCTGCGTTCTGCTCTCCGCCGCGCCGCCGCGGCTTCTTGCTCAGATCGATGGGGCCCTCAGCATCGGGGCTGGAGCTGGGCGAAGGGGCGGCCGCAGGGGCTTTGGGGTCGGGCTGTGGGGGCGGCTCAGCCCCGTGGATCTCGTAGAGCTTGCGGCGCTTGCGGGTACGGAGGGGCTGCGGGATGAAGGGCACCTTGGGCAGGCCGGGTCGGCGCAGCGGCGGGTCGTGGCGCGAGGCGCAGTAGAAGCGCTTGTGGACGGCGTAGGTCTCGTGGCGGCTGAAGCGGATGTTGCACGCCTCGCACAGCGTCTTGCTGGGGTCCTCGTCCCCCTCCGAGCTGACGGGGCTCTGGCTGTCCTCGCTGCACCGCCCTGATGCTGCCACCTCCGTCCCCGGGGACACCGCTTTGCCTTCTTCCAGCTGGGTGGGCGGCGTGGCTGCGCGCCCCACTTCCCCGTCCCCCGACGGAGCGCTGTGCCCTTCACCCGACGGAGCAGACAGCAGTGTCCCAGGGACGGGAGGACCCTTGGGGGTTGCGGGGGGCACTTTGAGCTTTCGGGCACCGGGAGGGCTGTCCTCGGCCAGGTGGCGGCTGGAGCAGTAGAGCCGCTTGTGCACGTAGTAGTTGTTGATGTTGTTGAAGGTGATCTCGCACTCGAAGCACGTCGCACCTTTCGGCACCGGCGCTCCGGTGAACAGTCCCGGTGGCACCGTGCCGTGGCCCTGCTTCAGCCGGCTGTGCACCAGCTCTGACATTTTGGCTAGGATCTCTGATGCCTGCGGCACCACCGTTGCAGCCTCGTGGCCAAACAGGTACTGTGGCAAGAAGACGGTGCCTCCTGCCGTGCCTGAGCCCGGCTCGCTGGGTACAGGGCTGGAGCCCGGCGTGGGGCTGGCCAGCTCCGACTTCACCTTCCCTGGGGGAAGGCTACGGGGGGATGAAGTCCGGGAGCTGGGCTCTGGCTCTGAGCTGGGGCTAGCAGCGGCCTCCCCGCTTTTGGGTTCCTCCGCCTCACTCCCAGCCGGGCTGTCAGCTGGCTCCTCCTTGATGCGGATGGGCTCACCGGAGGAGGAGGAGGACTGACCTTCTCTTGGGGCTTCACCATTCTGCGCCTCACAGGATGTGGGTCCTGTGGTGGTATCCGAGGGTGATGCGGGCTGTGGGGTGGCATCTGGGCCAGGCAGAACGGTGGGTAGGGGGCCGTGCAGCACCACGTGCTGTGGCAGGGCTGGCAGCCCCTCAGGTATGAAGGCGGGCAGGCTGCACTTCAGCACGGGTGCATTGTTCGGCTGGCTCAGCCCTGCCAAGGGGAGAGAGGTGTTAGTGGCATCCCACCCCACATCCGGAGCCATGGGGGGACACAGCCCTCGCTGGGGCAATGCCAAGTGGCACTAGGGGGGCTGGTATGTGAACCCTGTCCCATACGCACCAGGGGTGAGGGGTTTGGCAGCTGGCAGTGCTGGCCCTGGTGAGTACACCTCTCCCTTGGAGCCCGGCTGGCAGATCATGTGGTTGGTGACCAAGTGGCTGTAGAGGATGTCCCGTGTGGTGGAGATGAAGCCGCAGCTGTGGCAGACCCCTGCAAAGGACACAAAGTGGGTTTGACCCATGGGCGTGGGTCCCACCGCAGGATCTCTCCCTGTCATTCCCATCCCCTGGTGCTGCTATCCACTATGGGCACACCAGGCAGTGCTAACTCACCGTTGAGGGTGTCCGTGTGCACCTTCAAGTGACGTTCGCAGTTGGCTTTGGTGGTGAAGGCAGACAGGCAGATCAGACAGACAAATGGACGCTCCCCTGCAAGGCAGACAGAAGGGCACCTCAACTCTGAGTGACAGGGACCATGGGGACAGCACAGCTACGCCTGCTCCATCTTTGGCTTTGCAGGTGAGCACCAGCTTGCAGGGCGCTGCCCCAGATCAGTAATCTAACTGGGGAAGACCCTCATCTGGCTGCAAGCAACCCACAGCCTCCCTGTGCCTCTGGCAGGCTGGCTGGCTCCCCTGTGGTCCCTGCTGTCCCCAGGCTGTGCCATGTCATGCCATGCCCATACCGCTGTGGCTCCGCATGTGGATTTCCAAGGAGCTGGCACTGGGGCAGCTCTTCTTGCACTGGGGGAAGGGGCAGACACGCTCGTTTGGGTACGTCTCCTTGGGCTTCTCATCCACAGCAGGTGAGCCCGCGCTCTGCCGGCTGGCACAGTAGTACATCAGGTGGGCTTGCAAGTTGCGCTCGCTCCGGTACCAGATCCCACAGTCCTTGCATGGGAAGACATCCTCTGCAAAGGGAAGGGATGGATGCCAGGGGATGGGATGAGCACGGAGATGAGGACGGGCATCCCCTTGGGGACCCCTCCCCCGGCATCACCCCGGCACTCACTGTTCACCACGGCAGTGGCCAGGATGGCAGCCATGCCCGCCTGCTGGGGCAGCAGCTGGATGTCGGAGTGCAGTGCAGCCGGGTAGGGTGAGTCTCCAGGCTCTGCCTTCACCGCCTGCCTGGGGATGGCAGCCGGCTCAGCCACCACGAAGGCGCACATTGGCTCATCCTCCTGCACAGCACGTGTGGTCCTGCACCACACGGCATCATCTGGGGGCAGAAAAGGCGAGCGGTCAGCATTACGCCCCTGGAGCCTGGTGCCCAGCCCTGCTCCCGGCTCCTGGGTGCTCTCCCTCCCCCGTGGCAAAGCCTGGGCTCGCCTGGAGGTGGCAGTGTCAGCCCACGCCTGATGGGCACAGCTCCACACTTGCAATACTGCTTGCACTGAATCTTGCAGTAAGGTCTGCATTAAGTCTTGCAGCAGTGCCTGCACCAACGCTTGCACTGAGCGCTGTGCTGAATCCTGCACCAATGCTTGCAAGGCTTCCAATGGCCGCTGCACCAGCATTTGTAACACTCACACAAAGCACTGCACTGCATCTTGCACCACTACCTGCACTAACGCTCACAACAAGGCTTGCAGCCAGCACTGCACCAATGCAGCCCCCATCATCACCGTGCCAACCCCTGACCCCAGCGCAGGTACCAACCCTTCCTGTAGATGA